TCCTCCTCTCTCTTTCTCTGCCTGCCTCTCTGCCTACTTGTGATCTCTGTCAAATAAATAAATAAAATATTAAAAAAAAAGAATTGAAGGAGGTGTAAGAGACAACTATCTGCATAACTGGGAGAATGCTCATGGAGAGGGAGCGGCCAGATCCATTGCCTTAGAGCAGGAGAATGTGTTTGAGCAAAAAAGAGAATGGTTAATGTAGTTGGAGTGATTCCATCCCCATCGTGAATATGTGAATGTCTTCTAATGCCTAATCCAGTCTCTGGGGGTGGATGAGTTGGGTACAGTTAGCCTACGGTGTGATGAAAAAGGAACCAATAAATACTGAGCCCCTAGTACTTGCTCCCTATGTTTTCTTACCTCATCTTCACAGTAACCTGTTGAAGGTGTTATTGTAATCGCTGTTTCACAAATTGGGGTAAAATGCATCGATAGGTTATAATAGCAGGCTACAAAGTGATTGAGTAATGGGGCTGAGATTTGATCCCTTTGAATCCTGAATTCTTTTGGCTACATCATACAACCTCACTAGTTGTCATTACTTGGAGGTTCAATTTCTAAGCAAAGCAGCCACAATTACCTAAGGATTACAGAACTCAACTTCAAGCCTAGCAAGTGGTGTCCTGCAGGTGAATAGGGCCAGAAGTGACTGTGACTCCCACTTGTTTTCTGTCATTCACCTATTTCCCAGCACTCCTTTCCCTGTTTACAGGAAGAGAAGTTATTGAGGGTGACCTAGGTAGAGCTCACAGACACCAAGAGATGCAGACAACTATTTAAAACAACCCACTAAAGAGAGAGCTGTATGACCAGTCTGTGTTCCAGTTAGTGTCCCCTTTAGGTCACATACCTGAGCAGTCATCTGGTAACACCTGCTTCCTCCTCTGCATGTAACTGCTGGAGTGTTCTGGAGCAGTCAGCTGGCACCCCCAATAACAAAACCCCTGCCAGCAGCCCCCTCCATTCCAAAGATTGGAATCTGCTTGTAATAATAATGTATTTTAAGTCTGAATGGAATTCTTAGCATGAAATATGAATGTTTATGCCTTAAAATTTCATTTCTGACCAAGCCTGAGATTTGTAATCCTTCCTTCCTTGAGGACATAAGTTGTCTGTTCTCTGACTTTTTTATTACTTGCACTTGACCTTCTCTCTTATTACACTGAAAAATACTAAAAATTTTTAGGTTACAGTTTACCACACACATTTATTCAGTCATGCTCTATCCTACTTCAGATAAAATGTGCAAAATGTGTAAAATGTAATGCAACAAGATTAAAGTTGAATCCATTGACTGCTATGTTGAGGTCTAGAGAGGAAAGGAGTAAATAGATAAATTGATAAATAGGCAATAGATCAATGGGAAAGGATAGAGAGAATTAAAATCAGGTTTTTTGGAGGGCATGGTAATGGGTAGGATCCTGGGCCCACACACTTAATTTCCCCCATGAATTTGTGCTATTGTGGAAGGAAAGTGGAAAAGCCTATAACCTGGAGGCCTTCTTGAGGTCAGTTTTAGCATAGTGTAACAAAAAAAAACCCACAAATCTAAGTCTCATTGGGCTTCCCCATTAAAAAAAAAAAAAAAGGAATATTGACTTGCACGTTTTCCTGTATGATGGACCAGAAATACTGAGTGGCGGTCCCCCTGTGGTGCAATGGGCTTGCAGCTGAAGTATTGCCAACAAACCTTCTGAATGTATTCTTAGGATGACAGTAAGAAAAATCTCCAACAGAAAAAAAAAAAAAAAAGGGAAGAAAGAGAAAAAAGAAGGAAAAAAAAGGGTAAGAAGAAGAATGAGCTGAAACTCTGAATAATGAACCTTGAATGGTAAGCAAATGGGTTACCTGGGATTACCTGGCAGTTGAAACTGGGAGGTAGAGACCCAGCCCCACAGAGGCAGAACCTGAGCCTTTCATATTAAGCCCAGGCCCTCAAAGTGGACTGAAGTAGTCACAAGTCATTACTAACCCTGCCCCCACATAGAAGATAAAATTTATCTTGGGAGGAACGCATTCCCATTTTGGCACCTGGAGATTACTCCAACCCACCACCCCACCCCTACCCCAAACTGGTTAACATCTGGAAAGCACTATTTAAAAACCTCTGGCTCCTAGTTAGTCATGATTAGGGTTAATAGGAGGATCCGTGCTGCAAGGAAAGAGCTGAAACCCATCTGGCATTGTTCCAGAGACATATCTGAGCTATTTGGACCTTGCACATAATTGTGATCAAGATCTGATGTCCAAAAGGATGAGGAAAGCTAAGTCAGCAGAATCTTTGCTAAAATTCTGTCACAACAGAATTACATTATTAACCACAACAGTAATGCAGTAGTAATAGCAAATATTTAAGAAATGCTTATTTTGTTCCAGACACTATCCTAAGAAAAAATGTACGGAATTATTTTAGCAAACTCTGAAAAAACCACATGTTGTCTTTATTTTATAGATAAGAAAACTGCAGCACAGGGAGGTTACATTCTTGTCCCTGTTCCCGTGGGTGGTAAGCACCAAAGCCTGGCAACATCGATCCGTGCTAACACTAGCATATTGGGGAACTAAGTAAATAGTAATTTATTTCAATTTCTTTTCTGTTTGCTGACCTATTGAGCAGTCTTGGCTGGGCTGGAAAGAAACAGAGATCATCTTATTTTCTTCTTAAAATCTTCTAGCTCCCAGGCCCGTCCAGAATCTGGGCCTACCTCAGTCTGCAGCCTCCTCCCTGTTGGCGGGCACTAGCATTTGTTCTTGGCATTGCTGTATGTCCTAGTCTACTGCAGTGTCATGGGTCATTCTCATTCAGGGACTTTGGAGGAGGAACTACTCTTTTTCATTGAGAGTCCACAGGATTTTCACAGGATGAGTGATATGTGTGAAGTACCACAAATATAAAAACTGCCACCTTTCATAGTTCTAAGTAGTATGGTTAATGTGGGAGACAAAAAGTGACATTTGTTATGAATTGCAAACATCTCTTTGATCCAGGCTTGTTTAAGAGATAAATTATTGGAATTATTATTGAGGAATATTCTAGGATAAAAAAAAATCCTATTTTTTTTAATTTAAGGAAGAAAGAATTAAAAACTCAAGTCATGGGTAGATCATTGCGTAGCATATACAAAGTACGAACTAGCTTGATAAATAAATCACATTAAGCTCTTGGCTGCTAAATTAATAGCAAATAAGAATAGAATAAATTTACTTGGAAATAAGCCTTTGGAAGAAGTTATGAAATAAGCTTACCTGTCTTTTCTTATTTTGGCCATTTTTGAGAATGGTTTCAATTATTTAGTAAATCTGAGTGAGACTTTGTAGAAGGTACAACATGAAGCTAATATGAATATTACATTTATCATTAAAACAAACAAAAACCATTGAGGCAGATGAGGTACAAAACCACCAAGATAATTTCTTTTGAGTGTGATATAGGCTTAAAGTGCAAAAGAATATAATGAATTTTTTAAATAAAATTATTAACCTTTTGTATTGTGCATTTTAGAAAACCTTAATCTAAGAACACTGACTTTTTTGAGCTAAATTAAGAATCAGTTTCCTAAACAAACTTCCCCAAGGTGCAGGTGTAAACTAGTGAACAGTGGAGAGTTTATGAGCCTTCCTCCAAGATAATTTGTTGTATTAAAATAACTTAGGGGCCTGGAACTCTGAAGAATATAATTTTTTAAATGAAAGCACTCCTATTTTTGAACAATTTCAATATTACATGCTACTATTTTTGTCTTCAAATATGACTCATTAGTTAGAATCTAAATGTTATTTTTGGGTTATAATTCTGTTTTAGATTTAAAAATTATATTGGATACAAACTTGGACTAGGTATATTATCCCAGGTCAGCTATTTCTTCCAGTTATAATTATTATAATTTAAAACCTTACTATTCTTTATCTAATGCATCTTCCCGTTAAAAATAATTATTCTAGATGATGAAATGCCTACTTACTCTTGGATGTTATCATCTTCTTTGGTTTATTATTACAAATGTTAAAATATTACTTCCATTTCAAGAACTTCAGTAAGAAGACAAAAAAACTGGGGGCTTTTCTCATGAAACCAAACAGATGCCTATGTTTAAAAATGAAAGAAAAATAATGGAAAATTTAAATTGGAATCCAAATAAATAACTCTAAACATTTACATGTGCCTTTATTTCTCTAGTCTCTGCTAAGAGAGAAGCCATAGGGAAAGACAGAGGAGCAAAACATAATAAAGAAATCTTTAGTCCATATATTTCACATCAAGAAATTATATTAACTAGATATCAGTATTCAAAATAACATTGTTTTAGACTCACAAACTTACATAATCTTCCAGAGGAATTTATTCATTAACACCAGTTTTGTGTGTGGTGACTATATAGTATATTCTAGAAACTTTCCTTTTTTTTCTAAATTCATTTTGACATCTACCCATTTAGATATACTGACATTAAATCTCAACTTTTATTTTGCCATAACATCAAATTATCATATCAATGTATGGTTAGGCTTACAAAAGAATTTGGATTTATTTTTCTTTTTCCTATCATCTATATAGATGAAATGCCTACTAATCCATATCCACTGCACACCTAACTTTTGGATAATGACTTGCAAAATCCTGATAAAGACAGGAATAGGGAAGGTCGCAAATAAAGAAAAGGGTAAGAGACATGCTAGAAAAAGGAAAAACACCAGTTGAACTTAAACTAATATACAGATTCTGATTATAACTGACAAATAGGTTGTCCGTAAAGGCAGAACTCTTCTACTCTTAGTATCTGTTTACATGAGTGACAGTGCTTCAGAAAGAAAGGATATTCCAGGATGAAGTAAATGGTGGTCATAGGTTTGAGAAAGATGGGAACATGAAAAGATTGGTATGTGGGCTGTTTCCCAAGATGTTTTCATGGACAAAAAGTCTGGGCTGTAGGAGGAGAAGTTTTTTGAGCTAGAGACAGGGGTAGAGGTAGAAATAGAAAGAACAAGAGAGAGGAGAGAGGGAAGATTTACAGAGGAGTTAAAAGAATCCATTGCATTTAATAAACACCAGAAAAGGATTTTTATCCAGAAGATATTTTTAAGACCCTTGCAAATCAGTAATAAATTGACATATAACCCAGGGGAAATTGTCAATTTTAAAAACAGGCCAGACACAGAAGAAAACCAAATCATCAGTAACAAAAATTCTCAACCTCACATTTCAATCAGGAAAATGTAAAATAAATTAATAATGAGATACTATTTCATGCTTATAAGGACATAAAAAGCTAAAGTATCACAAATGTTGGTATAGATACACATGGAGGAAACTCTTACACATGTGAATATAAGAAGATGCATATCCCCTCTGACCGGCACTTCCCCTCCTAGGCATCTGTCTGAGAGAAACTCATGCTGATGTGCACAAGCTAACATGTACACTGGTGAATTTTTTTTTCAATGCAGCTTATTATAGTGAAATAAAATAATTTTCTCTTGTCAGGGAACTGACAAATTATGCTTTCTTCAAATTATGGGATACTCTACAGCAGTTAAAATTAATGATCTAAAGTTTCATGTTTCGATATGGATAAATCCCAAGAAATACAATTTCGAGTGAAGAAAACCAAGTAGTGAGTCATACATATAATATGAAAACATGTATGTAAATACTCTAAACTCATAAAACAAAAGGATACAAATTTAATGGATGCATATATGTGTAGTAAAATTACAAAAACATGCATGGGAACAGGTCATACCAGCTTCTGGATGGGTGGGTATAGGGGGGAAAGTGAAGGGGAATGGGTTAGGAGGTACAGTTTTTCTGTGATATTTTCTCTCCTTAATAAAAAGAAAGTTGAGGAACTTCCAGTGATGTGATCTTGGCAGCATGCTCAATTTTTAATCTCCATAAAATTCCTCCTGAAAAATAAACAAAGAAATTAGGATAGCAAAGGAAAACTCCATTGACAACATCTAAATAAAACTAGAAAGAAATATTTCCGTAAACTTCAGATTATAAACACAATGTAATAAATCACCTACAGCAGCAGAACAAGAACATGATCAAAGTTGGATGGTAGTAGTGAGAAATGAATGGGGACCACCTGTGTACTCCACAAACCAGGGTTTTAAAATTTGCCAACAAATATTCACCTCTAAGAGAAGACCCTACATATTCCAGGTGCAAACATGGGAAGACATAGCTGAGAATGGCCAGTACACCTTGGAAAGGCGCCCAGTCTCCAGTTTGCAAGTGAATTAAGAAAACTGCATATAGGTATGAAAAAAAACAAAAACAAAACTGAAGGTCTGAGCTAATTTCAATTTATAGTTAAATGACCATAAAATTAAGCCACCAGTTAACTTCCATTTACAAGTTAAATGACAGACCAAGGAAGTAAAGAGAGAAATCCAGAATGTAAGACATTCTATAGAACAACTAATCCAGTTTCTACAAGTCAATATCTGAGGGGAAAAGAAGGAAAAGGACTTCTCTGAATCAAAAGAGACTTCTAAGATGAAAGTGGGGACATTGTTTGGATCCTGATTCAAACAAAGCAATGGACACATTTTCCAGACCACTCATAATTTGATTTTGGATTCGGTATGAGATGATAGCAAAGAAATATTGCCAATTTTATTATGTGATATTAATACTTTTTAAAAGGAAAATGTCCACAATTTTTAGAGATTTATATTGAATCATATAGGGGTAAAATTATGTTGCCTGATATTTGCTGTAAAATGCATAAAGAAGAAAAAATGGAAACAACATTTAAAAAAAATAGGTTAATTTATACAAAGCTACATTAATTAAAACACAATGTTGGTACTGGCATAAAAATAGACGTCTAGACCAATGGCATAGAACAGGGAGCCCAGAAATAAACCCTTTTGCATATGGGCAAATGTTCTGCAATGAAAGTGCCAATGGAGGAAAGAACAGTCTCTTCAACAAATGGAATTGGGAAAACTGGATACTCGCATGCAAAAGAATGAACTTAGATCCTTGCCTTAGACCACATACCAAAAATTAAGTAAAAATGGATTAAAGACCTAGGTGTAAGACATAAAACCATAAAACTGCTAGAAAAAAAGGGGAAAAGCTTCATGGCATTGAATTTGGCAATCGGTTTTTGGTATGACACCAAAAGTCAGAAGCAAAAATAGATAAGTGAGACTCTATCAGATTTCAAAACTTTTGCATATCAAAGAAAATGGTCAACAGAGTGAAAGGCAATCTTCAGATGGGAGAAAATATTTGTAAATTATATATCTGGAATTATATTCAGAATACAGAAAGGACTCCTACATCTGAAGAGCAACAACAATACTTTCACTTTCTTGAAAGAGGAATAAAACAAACAGGGGCGCCTGGTTAAGCATCAGTCTTAGGCTCAGGTCATGATCCCAGGATCCTGGAATCAGCTCGGCGTTGTGCTCTCTGCTGGGCTGGGAGCCTGCTTTTCCCTCTCCCTCTACTGTCCCTCTGCTTGTCTCTCTTGCTCTCTCTGTCAAAATAAATAAACAAAATCTTAAAAAAAAAAAAATGCTTGCAGCCTTCTAAGGTATCTACTGCTATGCCCTGATAGCTAAAGCTGATAAATGATCTTTTCTTTAGGAAGTACTAAAAACTTGTTAGATATATTAATGGTCCAGGCAAGATGACTCATGAGTTTTGCACAGTGTTATTACTGACTACATAAAAGGAAGAAATCAAATGATATTATATTTGCGATGTAAGGGGACAGATGGTAGCTACACTTGTGGTTAACAATGTATAAACTTGTCAAGTCACTAAATTGTATACCCGAAACTAATGTAACATTGTGTGTCAACTGTACTCAAATTTAAAAAGGAGAAGCAAAAATTGATAATAACATCAACATCAAAACAAAATTGCATTCCCTGAATCAGTTAGGTCATAAATGACCATCAATCGCCCCGCCTCCCAGATTACTGTGGAAATCTGTCCTATGATTTTATACCCAACTCTTTATTGCTTGCTCCTTATGTTTTTTCATGGTTAGGAGAAGTTTCTGAATATGACCTTTAAAGATCTTTTTAAAAGCTTATTACTTACTGTGTATTTTGAAATAATTATAGATTTACCCTAAGTTTTATATTGCTACAATGTTGCATATAGTTATGTATCATTTTACCATTTGTAACTATTGTATCTTTGTACCATACCATAACCAGTACTGCATTCAAGATATAAAGTTCTTCCATTGCCACAAAGATCAATTAGCATCAGGATCAAATGAAGAACACTTTTTCTTCTTCTTTTTTTCCCCTTTTATTTACCAGTTTCATAATGCCAAGTCATACTCTTCCATCTTCCAATATCAAATGTAGAAATCTTACCTCCCTTTAAGTTTCTTTACCTTTTTTACTTACAATTGTCTTAAATACTTCCTCTACATACATTGAGGTCCACATCAGAAAAATATTATACTTTCCACGGACACTGCAAGAAGGAAACTTTTTTTCCTGCTGACTGGTAGCGACAGTTCCCCAATTGGCCTCCTCTGGTATCACTTCTGTGGAGATGGGGTCTGGTTCCAGGTAGGGACAGGAGTCCAGGTTCCTGGGAGACTTCCACTGACACTACCAGAAGAGGCTTGCTACTGCTGGATGAGGATGAGAGATCCCTCTCCCAATCTGGCTTCTCTCTCACCACACTTGGGAAGGGCAGAAATCTAGGATCCCCACTCAGCTTTTGCTGACAGCCATGGAACTAGAGCTGCATTTCGTTCCACAGTGCACCTCTGCAGTAGGGCACTTATTATCTAAAAATTTTTCATCTTGATAAGCTGCCCCTTTCCTTGTTTTTTTTGCTAGAAAGAATTGGACTTTACGAGGGCTCTTATTTGTCAGTTTCCATTGTTTTTTTTCCAGGTATGGCTTCTCTAGCTCCCAGTCCAGGATATGGGAGTCAAAAAGGCAACCCGGGGAATGGGTCATCATGATCTTCCCTGGGTTTCCAGGTCCAGAGTTGGTCAGCCTTCTTCTCTTTACCTCACAGTCTCCTTATGTTTGTTGTATAGATCATATCTGGGACTTCTGCCTGCACTTACGGGAAGAAATAGGGAGAAGGACATCTACTCCTTTGTGGTCCAAAACAAGACACCTAGAGAGATTTTAGAACTTCATGAAATTTAACTTTGTCCAGGCATTTTTTTTTAATTTGATTAAGCATTATGTAGCTGTGAGTAAACATACCTTTGTCATCTAAATCAAGACATTAAGAGACATGAGTTGTAGTGGAGGAAACATCTTAAACCAACTCTAAAACCTAAACTAATGAATTCAGCACGTAGTGACTGAGATAAGCCACCTGACAAGTCATCTTCAAAGAACAAAGAGATTTCCTTTGGAAACCAGTAGCAACAGGGCTTCCCTGTGGCTTAGATATGTGCTGAAATAAAGGAAGAAATGTGTGAACTGATTATTGATGTGAAAACTCAAGAGGGGGAGTGCTCCAAACCCAATTTTAATACTTACCATTTCAACATCATGAAGTGAGAAAATGCCCTGAGTCCAGGAGTGGATTTCCCAATACTGTATTCTTTGACTCTCTAACCCTGCACAGAAAAATGTATGCTCTAGGCAAACATAATTTGACTAATTCATTCCTTTTGTTCTGACTCCACAAAAAGAAGTGACTCTGCATTTATCTATTGGACTTCATGTCAAGTTCTTAGAGAAAATAAGCTGAGAAAAAGATTCAAACATCTGATACTTGTGGCAACTCTATTTCTCAGTATAATTCTTTAAATTGGCATTGTCACCAGTATCTTATGAGTTTTGATTAGTGAGGCAGTCCCTAATTTCCAGACCTAGATCCAGAAGTAGATGATGAAAAGAGGGACCCTGAGTCCTTAATAGACTCTCATGACCTTCCTAAGCACTATCTCTAAACTTTCAAATTATTCAAATTATGTATCTACTTCAAAAACAGGTAAAACAACATTGCTTTAACATGACCACAAATATTAATACCTAATAGACATTTACAGTGAGCCAGGAACTATAAAGAAAAAATACCCTTAAAGATTAATAATCAAGAGTATATGTTTCCCAAAGATAATCTGATAGCAGTCATTCTTCCATTTAACAAATATTCATAGAGTGCCTGGTACTGTCCCAGGTCTTAGGATAGATCACAAAAGGCATCAGGCAAAACTCCTATCTGTGAAATTTGCATTCTGGAGAATGGAGACAAGATGGAAATAAGACGTATGTGTCATATGGATGTTAGAAAGTGGCATGTGCCATGGAAAAAAGGAAAGCAGGATGAAGAAGATCAAGAGTGTGGAGTTGGGTGGGGAATGGGGACGATGTAATGGTAAATAGGATGATCCAACTGAGAGGGTGAGAATTTGCACAGATTTAAAAGAGATGAGGGAGGTAACAAGGACATCTTGAAACATAGTCATGTAGCAAGGACATCTGAGGATAAAACATTGAAAGAGAAAGCGATGAAAGAAATGGTATCAGCGAGGTAATGAGGGTACACGAGACAATGTGACGCTTTTTGGTCATTTTTGAAATGGAGTCTTATACTGACTGCCACAAGAAGCCATTGAAGGTATTCTTTAACCTTTTGTTTTGATACAATCTCAAACTTACAGCAAAGTGAAAAATAAAAGGAGTAATTTTATTTACATTAACCAATTATTTACATTTTCTCACAATTGGTTTTGTCATTTGCATTCTCTTGATAGATAGATTTTTTTTAACTATTTGACAGTAAACTGGAGACCTTTGTGACCGTTAACCACTAACTAGTTCCATAAATAATTTCTAAATACAAAGGCATTCTCTCTTTCTTGCTCTCTGTCAAAATAAATAAATAAATAATTTTAAAAAAATGGATGGTGGCATCTGGATGGCTCAGTTGGTAGAACATCTGA